CAATATTAGGAAGGTGTTCTTAATGTTTTGTCCACTCAAGTGTATACTGTGTGTACCTGACAGTTGGTAGAAGGTTCTAGAGTGTAGTAGAAGGTTCTAGAGTGTAGTAGAAGGTTCTAGAGTGTAGTAGAAGGCTATAGAGTGTAGTAGAAGGCTATAGAGTGTAGTAGAAGGCTGTGGAGTGTTGTGGTTGTACCTGACAGTTAGTAGAAGGTTCTAGAGTGTAGTAAAGGTTCTAGAGTGTAGTAGAAGGCTATATAGTGTAGTAGAAGGTTCTAGAGTGTAGTAGAAGGCTGTAGAGTGTTGTGGTTGTACCTGACAGTTGGTAGAAGGTTCTAGAGTGTAGTATAAGGTTCTAGAGTGTAGTAGAAGGCTATAGAGTGTAGTAGAAGGCTATAGAGTGTAGTAGAAGGCTGGTGGTTGTACCTGACAGTTGGTAGAAGGTTCTAGACTGTAGTGGAAGGTTCTAGAGTGTAGTAGAAGGCTGGTGGTTGTACCTGACAGTTGGTAGAAGGTTCTAGACTGTAGTGGAAGGTTCTAGAGTGTAGTAGAAGGTTCTAGAGTGTAGTAGAAGGCTGTAGAGTGTGGTGGTTGTACCTGACAGTTGGTAGAAGGTTCTAGAGTGTAGTAGAAGGTTCTAGAGTGTAGTAGAAGGCTATATAGTGTAGTAGAAGGCTATAGAGTGTAGTAGAAGGCTGGTGGTTGTACCTGACAGTTGGTAGAAAGTTCTAGACTGTAGTGGAAGGTTCTAGAGTGTAGTAGAAGGCTGGTGGTTGTACCTGACAGTTGGTAGAAAGTTCTAGACTGTAGTGGAAGGTTCTAGACTGTAGTAGAAGGCTATATAGTGTAGTAGAAGGTTCTAGAGTGTAGTAGAAGGCTGTAGAGTGTGGTGGTTGTACCTAACAGTTGGTAGAAGGTTCTAGACTGTAGTGGAAGGTTCTAGAGTGTAGTAGAAGGCTGGTGGTTGTACCTGACAGTTGGTAGAAGGTTCTAGACTGTAGTGGAAGGTTCTAGAGTGTAGTAGAAGGCTATAGAGTGTAGTAGAAGGCTGTAGAGTGTGGTTGTTGTACCTGACAGTTTGTAGAAGGTTCTAGAGTGTAGTAAAGGTTCTAGAGTGTAGTAGAAGGCTATATAGTGTAGTAGAAGGTTCTAGAGTGTAGTAGAAGGCTGTAGAGTGTGGTGGTTGTACCTGACAGTTGGTAGAAGGTTCTAGAGTAGGGGTGTCAAACATACGGCTCACGGGTGGTTTGAGTAAAAATAATCTAATGCAAAATTGGGGGGGAAATGAACTCAATGTACTTTAAAATGACTAAAACCAAATCAAAACTGTGAAGAAATGATAATGGACCCTCACTGAACAAAGACGTAAATGCAACATGCAACAACGCTGTCGTACACGTCGATCCAGAGCATCCCAAACATGCTCAATGGGTGACATGTCTGGTGAGTATGCAGGCCTGTCACGATCGTGTTGACGAGAAGGAGTAGACCAAGGCGCAGCGTGTGAAACGAACATGACTTTAATAGTTAAAGCACAAACTACAAAACAAAACACGATCGAGAAGTCCACAGTAACACTGACTGAACACGGAACAAAAACCCACAACCCCAAGGTGAACAATGACAGTTTAAATATGGCTCCCAATCAGAGACAACGAGCCAACAGCTGACACTCGTTACCTCTGATTGGGAGTCACTCCTTCAAACAAAGAAATACAACCCAACAGAAATACCAACATAGAAATACACCCAATGAATGAACACACCCTGGCTCAACATACAGAGTCCCGGAGCCAGAGCGTGACAGTACCCCCCCCTAAAGGCGGACTGCGACCGCGCCTCAATACGGGCTAAACAAGGGAGGGCTGGGTGGGCATACCTCCTCGGCGGTGGCTCTGGCTCCGGCCTTGATCCCCACCTCCTCTCCAACCCCCCAAAGTACCCCTGGTCCTGTCTAGCCCCGCTGGCCGGAGCCAGACTGACGACACGCGCCCCTGGCTTGGTGCGTGGAGGACGAACGGGCCTTACCAGGCTGACGACGCGCACCACTGCCTTGGCGCGGGGAGCAGGAATGGGCCGGACCGGGCTGACGAAGCGCACCCCTGACTTGGTGCGGAGAGCGGGACCGGGCCGGACAGGGCTGACGAAACGCACCACAGACTTGGTGCGGGGAGCAGGAACGGGCCGGACAGGGCTGACGAAACGCACCACAGACTTGGTGCGGGGAGCAGGACTGGGCCGGACAGGGCTGTCGACGCACACCGTAGACTTGGTGCGTAGAGCAGGAACAGGCCGGGCAGGGCTGTCGACGCACACCGTGGACTTGGTGCGTGGAGCAGGAACAGGCCGGGCTGGGCTGGCGACGCACACCGTAGGCTTTGTGCGTGGAGCAGGAACAGGCCGGGCTGGGCTGGCGACGCACACCGTAGGCTCTGTGCGTGGAGCAGGAACAGGCCGGGCTGGGCTGGCGACGCACACCGTAGGCTTTGTGCGTGGAGCAGGAACAGGCCGGGCTGGGCTGGCGACGCACACCGTAGGCTTTGTGCGTGGAGCAGGAACAGGCCGGACAGGGCTGGCGACGCACACCGTAGGCTTTGTGCGTGGAGCAGGAACAGGCCTCACCGGACTGTGGAGACGGATAGGAGACCTGGAATGAAGAGCGGCCACAACCCGTCCCGGCTGAATGCCTACCTTCACACACTCTGTGTGAGGCATCCGCACAGGACGTACAGGGCTGTGTACCCGTACCGACATGACAGCACGTGATACTGGAGCAGGATATCCGGGACCGCGGAGAGGCACAGGAGACCACGAGCGTTGAGCCGGCACACTCCGTCCTGGCTGCATACCCCCCTTCGCACGACACGTGCGGGGTGCTCGCACAGGATGTACAGGACTGTGCCGGACCACTCGTGGCACCGTACGCTGCTCCGCATACCGCGGAACCTGCCCCGTCCCATGCTGCCATGCCTGAGTACGGGAAGTTGGTTCCGCTCTCCATCCCGGCCTCGCCAACCTGCCTTCTGGCCCCCAAAACCCGGTGGCCTCCTCTCCAAATTGCCCTGTGGCAGCCTCCTGCTGCCCAGCCGCCCAAGCCATGTGCCCCCCCCAAAAAATTTCTTGGGGTTGCCTCTCGTCCTTCCGACGATGGTCCTGCTGACGCCGTTGCTCCTCTCTCGCCAGGGCCTTGATCCTACCCCAAGGTCCCTTGCCCCCGAGCATGTCCTCCCAGGACCACGATTTGCCCACCTGGGCCATCGCCAGCCTCTCTATCTCCTTACCCGGCGCTTCCTCCCATGTCCAGTCTCCTTGCTCCTGGACACGCTGCTTGGTCCTTTGGTGGTGGGTTTTTCTGTCACGATCGTGTTGACGAGAAGGAGTAGACCAAGGCGCAGCGTGTGAAACGAACATGACTTTAATAGTTAAAGCACAAACTACAAAACAAAACACGATCGAGAAGTCCACAGTAACACTGACTGATATGGAACAAAAACCCACAACCCCAAGGTGAAAACAGACAGTATAAATATGGCTCCCAATCAGAGACAACGAGCCAACAGCTGACACTCGTTACCTCTGATTGGGAGTCACTCCTTCAAACAAAGAAATACAACCCAACAGAAATACCAACATAGAAATACACCCAATGAATGAACACACCCTGGCTCAACATACAGAGTCCCGGAGCCAGAGCGTGACAAGGCCATGGAAGAACTGGGGCATTTTCAGCTTCCAGGAATTGTGTACAGACCCTTGCGACATGGGGCCGTGCCTTATCATGCTGAAAAATGAGGTGATGGCGGCGGATGAATGGCACGACAATGGGCCTCAGGATCTCGAAACGGTATCTCTGTGCATGCTATTGTGTTCATTGTGTAGAAGGTTATAGAGCAGGGCTCTCCAACCCTGTTCCTGAAGAGCTACCCTCCTGTAGGTTTTATCTCCAACCCTGTTCCTGGAGAGCTACCCTCCTGTAGGTTTTAACTCCAACCTTGTTCCTGGAGAGCTACCCTCTGTAGGTTTTAACTCAACCCTGTTCTGGAGAGCTACCCTCCTGTAGGTTTTTAACTCCAACCCCTGTTCATGGAGAGCTAGCCTCCTGTAGGTTTTAAACTCCAACCCTGTTCTGGAGAGCTTACCCCTCCTGTAGGTTTTAACTCAAACCCTGTTCCTGGAGAGCTACCCTCCTGTAGGTTTTAACCTCCAACCCTGTTCCTGGAGAGCTACCCTCCTGTAGGTTTTAACTTCAACCCTGTTCATGGAGAGAGCTACCCTCCTGTAGGTTTTAACTCCAAACCCTGTTCCTGGAGAGTACCCCTCCTGTAGGTTTTAACTCCAACCCTGTTCCTGGAGCAGATACCCTCCTGTAGGTTTTAACTCCAACCCGTTCCTGGAGAGCTACCCATTCTGTAGGGTTTACCCCCCCAACCCTGTTCCTGGGAGAGCTACCCTCCTGTAGGTTTTAACTCCAACCCTGTTCTGGAGGATACCCTCCGTAGGTTTTAACCCAACCTGTTCCTGAGAGACCCTGTAAAC